TGCCTTCCCCGCGGCAGCGCGAGGGCCCCTGTGAGCACGGAGGCAGGCCCTCTCTGCCCACAGCCCTCCATGGCTCCACCTCCCTCAGGGTTAAAGCCCAGTCCTCCCTGTGGCCCACAAGACCCTTCCTCTCCCCAGCATTCCCTCTGCTCCACCCATGTGCCAGGCCTGTCCTGCCTCAGGGCCTTTGCATGGACAGTACCCTCTGGAGGTCTCCACGTGGCTCCCTTCCCGCCTCCTCCAGGTTTCTCTGCTCACACCTTATTCTACAGTGAGAGCAGTCACCTCCCGCGTGCTATCTGTATCTTGTCCATTACAGGAGGACATTGATCTCTGTCTCTGGGGTGTTCTGGTGCCCAGGTGGGGATGTGGCGCACAGTCCAGGCTTTACACGTAGGAATGAGCTGAGAATTCTTAACTCCCTTTTTTCACCTGCTCAGTGTTGTGCCACTCGGGCCAGGCTGGGGCTTGATGTCAAGGGCCTAGCCAGGTGTCTGGGACACAAGTGGCGCCAGTAGCACTTCTATTGTGATAATACCCTGGGTGGCAGAACCGTACCAGTTCAGAACCACCAATGCAGAAGAACAGGTACCATACTAGTATGGACAGCAGCCATCAGTTAAATACGTATCTAAAGGATCTCTGCACCCAGCCCTGACGCCATGGGGCTGGCAGTATTACCCAGCTCCATCTGGTAGCCCCTCGAAGGCAGGATCAGAACTCTGCTACGGCCCCATCACACGCCCAAATTAAGGGGGGGGCCAGAGGCTAAGTAGGCCAGGAGGCCTGGGCTGCATGCTCAGCTAGGCCCGAGGCTGGCTGTGTCCGGCTGTGTCCGGCTGGGGCAGGCCCTCTCGGCCGCCTCGTGGGAGTGTGGTCAGCCCAGGGCCATGCCCGGGCAGCTGCGTCCTGGAGGGGCGCTCTGAGCAGGAGCCAGGGCCTGGGTCTTCCCCCGCCAGCCTGGGCCCTACCTTGTGCAAGGAGAAAGTCCGCACGCAGAACGTGGCCAGCTCGATGGTGTCCAGCAGCGTCACCTGGATGAAGCCGTAGGTCTCGGTGCCTCGGTTGGGCCAGTACTGGTCACACTTGATCTGTGCCAGGCAAGAGTGGGGTAAGCACGGGGCAGCTGGCGCAGGGCTCGCGGGCCGAGGGGCCGGGCCTCACCCGCGACTTTTCCTCCAGCCGTGTCATCATGACGATGGTGGCTGACCGCTGCTCCCACACCATGCGCCAAAAGTCCCCGAAGGTCTCTGGCAGGGGCCCCTGCGTGGCGATGTAGGCGTTCTGCCGCCGGTAGCCGTCCACGTAGTTGGCGTTGATGTAATCGCTGCCCACGATGCCTACAGCAACGGTGGTGGGCACCGTGCCTCAGTGGGCTTACTCGGGCCCACCACCTCCTGGTGCTGCCCCACGTACTTCCTGTCACCCCCGTCACACCTGGCTGCTAGGCACTGCTACGGGGTATAAAGGCCACACATTCTGTATGGGATACCACAGCCACTGGGGTCAGGTGGCCTCCACGATGGCGCTGCCCTGCGCACTCCAGGGTACTGAGCGTATCCTTGGGCTCCCCCCACTTGATGCTGTAGCACTCCCATCACCCAAACTGTGACAACCAAACACGTCCCCAGACATTGCCAAATGCTCCTAGGCAGCAGAACTCCCTGACTGCATCTACGTAGGAGGACAGATGGAGCTACGTATCAACAGCAGCCATCAGTTAAATACTTATCTAAAGATGCTCAACAAACTCCAGTGGACCAGGTCAGGTATCAACCAGAACGGGGCTCGGTGGCAGGACAGGGCAGTGTGGGGTCTGAGCTTTGTGGGCCAGAACACCGCAGCGGAGCCTGGGACCCGGGCTGTACCTTCGATGGGCTGGAGGATGACCCGGGAGTGGTCGTAGGCGATGACGTTGGCGTAGCGGTTCTTGGGTTTGTTCACCTCCAGGTTGGAGTGTTCCCACGTGAACTGCTGTCCGGGGTCAATGGACTGTGGAGAGGGCAAGAGGTGGGCATTCCGGCGGGCATCTGGGCCCCGGGAGGGTCGGGTGGGGCGCGGCTCACCTCGTACTCCTGGGAGAGCTTCAGGCTGTCGTTGGCTTTGAGGCGCTCGGTGTGCTCCGCCATGTCCCCGATGGGGACGGGCGGGTGGCTGAGCATGCCTACGGGAGAGCAGACCGGCCGGCGTCGGTCAGGGGGGCCGGCCCTGGGGCAGGCGGGGTGCTGGACAGTGTGAGTCGGCCATGGACAAGCTGAGGTTAGGGGCGGCAGGGTGGCTCACGAGGGGACTGCTGTTCCAGTGCTGGCCGGTCCTGGTCCCCCCACCCAACCGGGCGCGGGGCCAGAGGAAGGTCCCCAACGCCTGGAGCTCAGTGCTTCGTGGCAAGAAGCAGGCGGTGGCTGGAGTGGGGGCGGGTGCAGCCTCGGGCAGTGCCGTCCCCAGGAGGGGCTCAGGCGCGACGAGGCGGCCGCCGCGGGGCCGAGCGAGTGTGCTGTGGGCTCCTGTCCCTGCGCTGGCTCGGGCAGGCAGGGGCAGCAAGGCCCTGTCAGACCCCTGCCCGCTCCCGGCCCGTGAAACGGGTCGCACACTGAGACCCGCAGGTGGCCTGGACACTGCTGTGCAGACCCCCAGCCACTTCCCAAGATGCCGCGTCCAGGGGCCTCGGGAGCCTGCCTGCCCCTGGACGCCTCCCGGGCGGCCCACGGCTCACACCCGGCCGTCACCCCCGGCCACCCAGGGCCCAACGGAGCAGACCCTGCCCTCCCCAAGGTGCCAGGGTGGGACAGGGGGCAGAGGCCGGCCAGGAGTGGACGCGCGGACAGACAGGAGGCAGGATGGAAAACCCAGGATGAAAACAAACGGGGAGGAAGCGAGAACAGACACGGGACTAACTTTCCGCGGGAGACCCCGGCTCCCTGAGGGGGCTGCTGAGGCCTGAATCTGCAGAGACAGCAAACAAGCGATCAATGAGGACTCGGGCCGCCCGCCCCGCTGGCCAGGGCACACGGGCACACGGCCGCCCGGCCCAGCCTGCAGCCTCAGAACTGCAAGCTTGCATTCCGCTGGCCGGCCAGGGGCCAGTGTTGACCCAAGGCCCCAAAGATTTAGGATCCTCTTTCTACATGTCCCCAACCCCAGCGCATCCTGGCCTTGGGTCCCCTGTTGAGGCCAGCAGAGGGGATATGGGGGAAGTGGATGAGGATGGTGAGGGAGAAATTAGGAGGCAGGAGAAGGACATTGGGCTCATGCCATGAGCTTAGGGAGGTCAGCAGCCACCAGTTAAACACACATTTACAACCCCCATTAGATGGAAGGAAACAGGACGATGTGAGACAGCCCAGAGCCAGGGAAGTAGGGGAGCAATGAGGGGTGACGTGTGAGGTGCTACAGGACCCCTTGAAAATAATGCAGCCATCAGTTAAACACCCACACTAAACCTAGATGACAACTGAAGTGACATGAGCCAATCCCGAGATGACAAAGAGAAGAGCACACACTAGGGGTGATAGAAGACACTGCACGCTCCCTTCAGGAGCCCTGCAGCCATCAGTTAAATACAAATGGTCAAAATCCCCAACTGGATGAAACTGAAGTGACATGAGCCAGTCCAGAGACAGACAGAGAAAACAGTACAGTACGGTGAGGGAGACTCATTCAGGATAACTGTAGCCATCAGTTACATAAAGTTAGAATCATCTGGATGAATCATGAGCCAGTCCAAACACAGAAAACACATTAGGGAGAGCATGTGAGGTCAGGCCTGATCCCTTCAGGCCTGCAGTCACCAGTTAAATACAAATGTTTAACATCCCCGTTTGATTGGAAGCAGAGTTGACATAAACCAGTTGAGGGACAGATGCAACCATGCTGTGAACCCATAAGGAGAAGAGCAGTCCTCGGTTAAATTAAAAGTCCCTTATTAGTTAGAAGCAGCTGGCATGAGCCCATTAGAGGGGGAGAGAGGGGGACGTTTGTGATTCACTGTCCGTGATCAGGGACGAGGGCCTGATCAAGTTCTCCTCCAGGTGAGAACGCCGTCGCTCTGCAGTGACTGAGGGGCCCGGAGGGCAGGGGGCAGGGTGGGCGATGGTGCTGTGTCTGTGCCTTGCTAGGGGCACATCCCTAGGCCAGTGCAGAATGGCCGAGGACCACCCATGCTCCCACTCCACAGGTGCTAGGGCTGGAGAGTGGGGAGCACTGCTCCTCCTGACCACGCAGTGCCCTTTCTAGTTTGAGATGTTCTTTAGGTTCCGGAAGACAGCGACCCTCAGTTAAATGTATCTTAACCAGCCTTGCCGGCTGTGTGCAGAGCCACCGGGAGTTCAGCCCAGATCCACTCAGGGAGGGTGGTGTTTGGGAGTCGGGTTTGGCTGCCCCCTGGGCTGGCCTGGGCTGGCCTGGGCTGTCCGGCCGCATGTCCTCTCCCCAGCTCCCTCCCTGGGGTGGGGTCCCTCAGGGGCGGCACGTACCGGGGGTCTGGAAGTTGATGCGCCGCATTTCCACGGGGTCCTTGGGGTGGTGGGGGGCGAGGTCCGCGTTGTTCAGCAGGCATTTGGTGCGCGGCTCCGAGTCCTTGCGCTTACTGTGCGGGGCAAGCGGGCCGCGGGTGAGCGCCAGGCGCCCAAGCCGCCGCGTCAGGAAGGGCACGTCCGGCCTGGCAGCACCCTGACCGCCCTGGCAGGCCTCCCTGGGCACCCGCCCCGGCCCAGGGGAAGGGCTGGTCCTCACCCGTCAGGCTTACTGCTCCGGCACCAGGCGCAGGCGGCGGGGGGCGGGGAGAGGAGAGGTGAGGCTTGGAACCCTCTCAGCTTGGGTCTCCTCCCTGGGAGAGGGGCTCGTCCCTCCTACGAGGACCCCACTCCACACAGACCTGCTCGGCCCCCCTCGGTAAGGAGCTCACAGCAGGAGGTTCTCGGCAGGAGCCAACCACTGGTCTGTTCTGAGTCTTGCCCCTGCCATCTCCCCAGGCTGTGTGACCTTGACCAAGTGGCTTAACCTCTCTGAGCGTCAGTTCCCCATCCGACCCACAGAAGCCTCTGGCTGCCAGCCCAGCTGACCCTCCCCAGGAGGCCACCCTGCTCGGGGAGCACCGGGCTCACTTCTTGTACAGCAGAATGGCAATGACGATGCAGATGATGAACACCACGGCCAGCACAGGCCCGATCACCCAGATGAGCCCCTCCTCGCCGTCCACAATGGGCTGGGGGTCCGGGTTGTCCAGCTGGAAGGGGTCTGAGAAGGGGCTGGCTGCGAACGTCTGCGGGGGGTGGGCACCGTCAGGTCCGCCTTGGGGAGCCCAGCAGAGGCCCCCCGCCCCCCCAGGTCCCCGCGCCCGGCTGGACGCGGCACTCACGGGCTCGCTCTTCTGCAGGGCGGCCAGCACAAACAGGACGTAGCGGTGGCCGGGCTCCAGGCCCCGGTTGTCAAAGCCGCCGTACTGCTTCTGGTCGCCAGGGCGGAAGACGGGCGGCAGGACGGAGAAGCGGGCAGCGACGTAGGGCCGAGGCGCCTCTAGCTGGCGGGAGTGCCGCAGGCTGCGCCGCTGCAGCCGGGCCACGTCCTGGACCAGCTGTGGGTGCGGGCGGGCGTCAGAGCCACGGGACGCAGAGCCCCAGGGACGCCCGGCCCCCGCGCGGCCACCAGGCCTCACCTCCTCCAGGTCCATGTCCTCCGGGCTGCCCAGTGGGGTCAGGAACTGGCCTCCGCGGGACTTACGCAGGGGCACCATCACGATGAAGTAGCTCCTGGGGGGGAAGCAGAGGGTCCTGGCTCCCGCGCCCGCCTCACCTCTGGGCACCTCTGTCCCCCAGGCCAGCGCCACCGGCTCTAAGCCCAGAACTCCTGCCCCCCCTCGAGGCCCGGCCTCCATGCTCCCGTGTTCTTGGGGCCTTTACTTCTCCTCTCCTCTGGGCCTCCCGCCATCTCCACCCGCCTAGAACCTGAGCCCAGACTTCCCAGCGCCCTAAGGTTGCCCAGCGAAGGGTCAGGCAGAGGGCCAGGGACGGGAGGAGCAGGTCTCGGCAGGACGGGGACCACAGCCTGTGAGTGGGGCAAGAGGTCAGGGGCCTGGCCTGGCACACAGCGGGCTGGGGTGGACGGGTGGCGTACTGCACAGGCACGGGGCTCTGGCCGTCGGGCAGGTACACCATGATGAAGCCCTCGGGGTCGGGCTTGGGGGCGACGCTGGGCTTGCTGCTGAGAAGGTTGAAGGCTGTCCAGGCGGTGACCGTCTGCTGGAGGCCACCGAGGCTGCTGCCACGGTTGGTCAGCACAAAGTTGTAGAAGGTGTGGGGCCTGAGGTGCGTGATGAGCTTCTTGGTGGTCCTGCCGTCCACGTCCAGCGTGAGCCCATTGTACTGGATCTGTGGGCCGGAACCAGCTCAGGGGCGGCCAGCTCAGAGCCCCTGCCGCGTCCCCCTTCTGCTGGACCCTGTGCTGAGTATCAAGTGAGCCCCGAGTCCTGAGTGTCCTGAGCCCCTACGCTGAGTGTCCATCACAGCCCTCATTCCTGCTGATCTGCAGCCCCAGCCTGGGCTCCCAGCCCCGCCCGAACCTCCGTCCAGCTGAGCCCAACCCTGACCCAGTCCTCGTCCCTGGCTGCACATCCATCCAGAGCTGACGGGGATCCCAGGCCTTGCCACCTCAGGGTCCCGGTCCCGACTGAGCCCGGATCCCAGGCTGAGCCCCCCTCTAGGTCCCGGTCCCGACTGAGCCCGGATCCCAGGCTGAGCCCCCTCTAGGTCCCGGTCCCGACTGAGCCCGGATCCCAGGCTGAGCCCCCTCTAGGTCCCGGTCCCGACTGAGCCCGGATCCCAGGCTGAGCCACCT